TCCGTCCCCGAGGCTCCTTCGAGGATCGTTTCAGCGACGAATTTCATGCACAACTCAAGCGTGTGACGTCTCGGAACTTCTCAGCTGAAGAATGTCATCGGAGTGAAAAATTTTATTCGGAGCGCGAGGGAGGGGGCCTCATTTATGATGGCTTTGAGTGGGTTTATTCCTTCACAGCTTTGTCATTTGTTATTTTTTAAAGCGTTCGAAAACAAACTAATGCCTAGATATATGTTTGGCCAAGTAGCCGACTTCCTCTGAGGCGAAATATCGTTAAAAAAATTTTGAGAAAATTGCAAACAAATATTCAAGGGAAAAACTTTTTAAAAAACAAGATTCTGACGCATTTAACAACTTATTTTAAAGTCTTGCAAAAACTCACACTAAAAAAAAAGTACCGTACTTTATTTTTTTTCTTTTTTTTAACCAATTTCAAATAGCCTATCGGCTAATCCCATGCTTATTACCCCAGCCGGCCCCAGGTGAACATTGCTTGAGACCATCAAGATCACCTGGCCGGAAATCGAACCCGGGACCTCTAGGTCATAGGACCAGCACTACAACCACTACACCACAGAAGACCGACATCTACTGTAAGTCTATACTTGATTCTTTACAAAGTGATACTATTTTGTGAAAATAACCAGAACTACAGTAGTATTCACTAGAAATCTGGTGATACCATAATATGGAAAATATTACCATAGAGCACGTATTCTCTAATACGTGCGTTTCTGAGAATACGTACCAATGAATTTCTTTCCTTTTGTGTATGACTTGAATCCTATTTTTTAGGACTCCAAGTATGTTATTGAGATGAAAAGACGGAGTTTGAAGAAAAGCTTAGACAGGAATCTGATGTAAACCGGATTAAAGTCATCCGAAGAAAAAAAAAGAAATATTTTTAAACTTAGCGTCAATAGTAATTACAGCTCCAAGGCAAGAGAATAAAAGTCTAACGGAAGACGAAATCGGGAATCTAATTATAAGATTAAAAATTGAACTTTCTCAGCCTGATGGATATTTTTAAGGGGGATTTTTCTACGTGGAGAAATAAGGCTGCGTTGCAAAACGGCTAAGCAAATTGCGAGTTTCTCCTGTGAATATCCCATGAAATGAACGAAGCTAAGTAGTGCTTGCATCATATTAGCCTGCCATTCGTTAGACAACTTCTCATGTCTCCTTTTGAATTCAGTAAGATCAGTCTCATCCTACCTACCCTAATTTTTCAGAAAAAAACGGAGATTAGTGTAAAATAATATGACCGGCAAAATTCTCTTTTTTTGAAAATATTATTTTTTAGAGTGTTGCGTAAGACTGGGCTTGATCACTCCCCCTCCTCGTAAGACATGAGCGGATCCACGGAGGGGGTAAGAGGCGTACGCCCCCTCCCCCTTCCGTTCACCCGATAACAAGAGGGGAAAGAGGAAAATAAATAGAAGGAAAAAGCGGAGGAAAAAAGATAGAAAAACGATCGTATTTGGTAATTATTCATGATGAAATTGGCCCGAACTGCAAATTAGATGCTTTACAATTTCAAACATTTTATATTCTGGGGGATGCCCCTCGGACCTCCCTCAAGCTCCCCCTCCCCAGTTCAAAGTGTCTGGATCTGCCTATGTCGTAGGGCCCCATAAGGCAAATTCAAGCTCCTAACTCGAGAACCATTCAAGAGTTTGGCAAAAACCAAAAATAGTCTAAAGTTAGACGTAATTACCTTTCTAACGGTGTATCAGTTTGAAAATTGATAAATTTTTGACGTTAAAGCGTTGCCAAACTTCCGACATATTCCCTCGAGTAGCTTACGTAATACTTAAACGGGTCTCTTCCCCTCTGTGTCGAAAAATGGATCGACATTGAAGAAACGAGAGGCCCGGGGAGAAAATTCACGCGGAGGACGTTCCAAGGGTGGACGGGGGCGGGGGTGGAAGGGGGTCATGAAAAGAGGCGCGGCTCAAGAGGGGCTGAAATTCCGCCTCGGATCCACGGGTCTTTAAAACAACTACATTTCAACCCCCCGTCTGCCCTCTCTCTCACCCCCGCCCGCTCGGTTTCCCTTTATTTTAATAATGTCAGAAAGCACACAGCGTCCTCCGGATCGGAAAAAAATAATTTCAATAATTACTGCCGTCCCTCGTAACTTGCTCCTTTCGACCAGTGACGAGGCGTCAATGATCGATTACCGTTATTTCCCCATTTGAAGCTGTGCTGAAGAATCGATTATTAAGGTCTTAGTTCCAAACACCCTGTTTATCCATCCCTTTCTATAGGTTTAAAGTGCAGATCAGTCGATGTATCGCAAAGCACGCCACGCCACTGCTTTCGACGCGCTTAATAGGGGCGTTGACAGATTATCATTATCGCTGGCTGCTCTCGCGAGGGATTTTTGACGAGCTCCTTGTGAAAGTTCCTCGGGTTTGGTCGCGTATCAAAAATATGTCGCCAGACAGTGGAACGAGCTCATAGATAAGGTCGGACAAGAAATGTAGATTTGGCTAAAATTTTGATGTTAATTTCGTCACTATAATTCTATTTTAAGGGGTGCCTCCAAGAGGAAATTTCACGAAAAAACCAATTAGACCACTTGTTAACTCTTTAGTTTCACATTTTCTAAAAAAATATATGCTTACAAATATTCAAGATTTTGTCTGACTTCTCCTACCGACTCAGTCCAGTGTGTGCCATCAGTCTGATGCAATACTTATATAGGGTGTCCCTGGGCTAAACTCGACTGTGAATTGGCTTATCCTACGCCCGACCGACGCGCAGCAGATCGAGTCAATAAAAGAGGTCGGACATGAAATTGTTGACTAAATTTGCAAATTTTGATGTTTATTTCGCCACATTTAAAATTTCGAGGGGTGAAAATGGAAGAAAATTTCACGGAAAAACCAATGGAACCATTTGTAGAACCTCAAAGGTTTGAAAAAACGATATTATGAGCGTTTAAATTTTCCAAATGTTGTCCGAACTCTCCTATTGCTTTGGTCCAATGTGCGACAGTAAGATTCGTACCCCACCAAGTGTAAAAGTTAGGTTAGGACGGAGAATGTCGGTGGCCAGGATTTCATAAGGGACTCCGTACTGTTTTCGAAATCTTATCAAATGTGGAACAAAGAAAATGTTTGTCCTCATCTAGACTTAGGCATCCTTTACGTGAGTCAACGATGGTAGTATTAAAGTCAGATCCTTTATTATAAAAATCCCCCGCTAAAAATAAAAGTATGGCTCATAGAGACAGTGATATGAGTATGGTAATCATCAGTATACCCTCGCAAAGACCGCAACTAAAATTGAGTTTACTGATAGTATGGTGAACATTTACTACCAGATTTCTGGTTATCTTTAACCTACAGTATCGCTGTGTCAAAAATCAGGTAGACTGATGATGAAATTCACCATATCTCTGGGAAAATTTGCCATGTCTTTTTCTCTCAGTGCCATGAGAGCCCGGTGACGACACCTTAGCAGTGATAAATTTTCCAGTTAGCAGTCATAAAGTTATCCGGTAGAGGCACCTTAGCGGTACTTAAAAGATTTTCTGGTCAGGGTATACCGTACCACCAAATAACGTTTTATTCGACGGTACCGTATACTGCCGAGTAATAATTCGAAAATAAAAACATGGAGGAGGTCGTGGCTCCAACTGGGGCGGCCAAGGATAAAATGAAGTCCGGTAACGACGTTTAATTCTTCTGACAACGGTGTTTGCCACAGTTTTCCAAATACTCCGATTCCACCCGCGATCGGTTCTGATTTATTTCATACCGAAGAAGCAGGTTCACTGAACACGTCAATATTTATTAATTGCCAAGTCTCTCATCTTAATCGAAGCAAAATTTCCACCCACTGATTATTTTGAAAGTAATGAAGCTTGTCTAGTGGAAAATATTCGCTCACGCTTAAATAACAACGAACAATAATTAAATCACGGATGTGCTTAAGCGATCGTACTTCATTATTGATTATTTTAGGAAAAAATATGAAAAGTGCAAAATATTTAGGACATGCACGAACGACTTCGGGTACTTTTTTTATATGTTAACTTCCGTTTTGAGTTACTTGAAAAGGCGTATCTAGACGAGTCTACACTAGATACATTAGTTGCAGGAAAACCTCTATCAAAAATTTTGGTGATTGATTCATTCATTGGTCAATAAATATTGAAATTTAACTTTTTTCTTCTATATTATTTTATTCTCTTGAATCATTTTCATACGTCTCCGGCTCTGGGCTGCTTCAATTGTTCCCATAGCAGGTACACACTAGACACCCTTTGACCTCGCCCTCCTATCTAGGACCCTCAGCTCATTTGGCCGTATTTCTGTCAAACGGAAATGTGTGCATTATGACGTGAGCCCTGTTGAACATGTATTCTAATGGGTCTCAGGGCTCATGTCTAAATGCGCATAGTCCCGTTTGACAGAAATACGTCCATTTACGGACGGTCCCTAATAGCATGACCTTAGAAAAGAGAGATCGATACAGAGTGAGTAAGTCATGGAACAAAACGCTAGTATGTTCAGAGACCAACATAAAGCAATAGTAGATGTAACAGTTACCAGAGAAAAAACTCCCCGATTTTTTTTAATTATTATATTATCAATAGTTAACTGATTTAAACCAACTTCCATTCTAGTCTAACCATGGACTCGAGAGGCCACCCTTCAAATCTGCAAGTTCTTCACTGCAAAAAAAGAGTTGTCACTTTTTTACAATGCCATCAGCGCATCACGTCCTTTAAACCTGTTTAGTCACGGTTACAATTTTAGTTTTGTATTAAGAAGTATCCGGGTCCCAGTAACGATGCAACATTACTATCGGATCACAAAGTATTATCACTGGAGCGGAGCCGATTAGCCGATTATCATTCACAATACACGGTCTCGTCAAGGTGCGTCGTTGACCTCGCAGTGTTGGATCGTGAATTCTCCTGTTGTACTGCTTGCCTATTTTGAAATCTCTGTAAATGAAAACTAAAGGGGTTCATATGTGCGAGTTAATGACGCGCCTTATCAACACATCGTGTTGGAGTTCACTGCTTATTTTTTTTTTTTTTACTTTTTATTATTTCTACTTGACATTTTGAGCTTGTGCAACAACTGTCATTACTTCGTTGAAGAAGTCGGTATGTTGAATCAGCTTCTTGTGGGTATAGCCTGGCAAATATTTAACGGTGATCTTCGAATGGTTCCCTTGAAACTTCTCGCAATACCTCAAACTTTTGGCATTAACAGTTTTGTCTCCGTCTCCATAAACAATTTCATAATCATTCGCATCGTTCATCTTCTTCTCGTGCACTCGGAACCTAAAACAATTAATTTTTCATATCAGATATGGTTAAAAAGAATGGTACAGTCAAAAATTTTGAGGAATCATCCTTCATGAATTATTAAATAGGTTTTAAAGCATGGAAATGGTATTAAGAGAACCGTAAGAAAGGCTTCGGGAATATTTGTTAAGGCAAGGGTCTTTCAGCTGAAGAAATGCGCCTAGTTTCCGTTGAAATATTACACTAAGAAACAAGTTTCTGACACAAGATCCTTTACTTTTCATTTTAGCCACTCCAATGGAGTAAAGGGAGAAATACAAGACAGAAATAAAATAAGAAATTGAACAATGCGTAGAATGTTTAAAGATTTGAACCTTATGCGTGTTTAATGATTAATACTGGCACGCCCAATGTGTACCTACTTTTCAGCAGTAGCAGGTTTTGAAACGTTCGACCAAACACAATGGTGTCTCACTCCCAATTTGTCCAGCGGAACAGGGAACAAATGACGAACATCTTGACGCATCAGATAAGCATCCCCAAACCCAACATCTCTGGAATCAAACGAAATTAAATGAACCAGGTTATCACCCTCAATTCGCCTGTAAACTGGATTATGTTATGACGGAATGCTCTTTGTCGCACATCGTTTTTATGAATTGAATTGTTCTCCAGAAATGTAATTTCCAATACTTTGTTTCAGTAATTTTAAGTCTTTGAATCTCCTCGCCGACAAATTGCCAGATATATATTGTCAGTGTTTGAGATTATATGAAAAATGATATAGAATTTAACTCCAAAGCAAATTACATCTTTGATTTTCCACAGAAAACTGTCTTTTGAGCCAAAAAACATCATGAATAGTTCAAATTAGTTCAAATTTTGCACAGGAGAACGTGTTACGGGCATTGTAAAGCAAATCATGCATAGTATCTCCGAATCAAAATTGGACTCGAGAGGTTTGAAGTTAGTGACTCAAACAAAGTGTTTGAAGATGAGGCAATTTTAAGTTGCAAACCATCTTATTCGCGGCCTAAAATTGTTGGATGATAATGTAACTTCACGCCCTTTATTATTCAAGATGTAAACCACGACACTCATAACTGTCAGTGAGTTTTTCACCTAGATATTCAGTAATGTCCGACAAAAACTAAAATTCCACCCCCCCCCCCATTTTGCCAGAATTGCTGCCTTGCAAACTTTTCCTGGTAAACAAAGACCCATTACCGTGTAGTTGATTATGCATTTGACATTTTTTACATAAAACGTGTACCGCTTTATCCGGAAAATTAACAAAGCGATTGGGAGAAATGGGGGAAAAAGAAGTGGAGACCATCCTCTCTACCTACGCAAAAAACTCCTGGTACTGGTTTGCGGTGTATGTTTTGTTCATTGGAATCCACTCGACAACAACCGTGTTCTTGTACGTCTCTTCTTCTGGTAACAAGAACGCTATCGATTGAAAGGTTGCTGCGAGTTTTTTCATGACATTCTTGTCCACGGATGGGACCTTGTAATTTTGACCTGTATAAATTTACGAAAAAATTAATGGCTGATTGCAACTTCCAAAAAATAGTTGCTCAAATTATTGAACATCATGATGTCAATCCGATTGATTTGAGTTCTACAATTTTAATACATAATACATTTCCCCTTGTACCAAAGCTCCAATATCCATAAAATATAAACATTGTACTGCGCATTGGTTAGCTTAGTTTGTCCTGCAAAAGAAAAACACGTTATGTTGGATTGGACGCTGCACTTATAACTAAAAATGCTATTCCTTCTTCCAATTTTTGAAAGGGAATGTAAATATGTTGGTCATACTGTGTAAAAATATCGTCCAAAGTTTGGACATCCCCAAAACTCAAATGTGTCACCATTCATTGTTCCTGTTAAGGTTTAGGCACCGCTGTTAAAAAAAAAAAACGAGATCCTTTTAATTTTTGTAATTTACTATTGCCCATAGTGAGTTTAACAGAATTTCTTGCCAAGAAAGCAATACACCCCGTCTATGTTGCTTTTGAGTAAATGCACACTTAGCAAATTAAAACGAAAGTTCCACTGTCAGACAAAACTTCTAAAAAAACCTAAAACGAGGAATTTGTAGACGATCATGGGAGCATAGACTCATCCCTATTTTTCAACGACGGTCGGCGCGGTGTTATCTCTTGAAAGTTTCAGACCATGGCGTTCCTACACATTACCCAACTTAACATATTAAAAAATGTAAATATTGTCTCTTTCTCTTCTCTTTCTTACTCTGTTCATTGATCATTTTTTAAACCATTTTGAAAAAAATTTCCAGTACATGTTTTTCTTTGTATCTACCGCGCTTTGGCATCTTCTATGAGAATTAAAGAACTTGTGTGCAATGCATTTGCGGTAATTCAGAACGTTGTACCTTACCGACGATGTAGCCTCCTAAACTCCATATGCTTCCCAGCCAAGGCGTGCCACCCGTCACAAAGGCATGAATATATTTGTCTTTCCAATCTTGAGTTTTGTTCAACAGAAAATACGCGGTGGTAAGGCCTCCCATGCTATGAGCCACTAAAGCTACCTTACGCTGCGTGTCAGCGGCCACTTTTTCCACAAGCTCCGTAAGTGAATTGTAGTAGCCCTGCTCATCCAGTTGTGCTTAAATAGTCGAATGCAATTATTAATGGACGAAAAAAAGTACATAGTTTTAAGGAGGATTCTCAGCTTTGGTGTCATTAATGAGTCCGTTGCAAGCAAGAACTGCAGACAGCTGAATACACTGCTGAAGGGAAAATTCGCTGGATAATCACGTTGGGCACATCAAAAAAGTCTGAAATCCACAGCTCCCTAGCGCGCAATCTGCGTAGTTTTTAACACGCTTTTTCAAGTATCCCTCGTCTACGGGCAGTTTTCCCCAGTCACCACCGACCAGGTTTGTACCGGCAGAGGAGTAAAAAAGAACTATTCAGAGTATAAACAAACAATTAACTAACTATTTATATTGTATAATTTCATTTGTTTTCAAGCGTTTGTTTCCTTTTTCTTCCTTTATTTTGCAAAAGAAAAAGCTTTCAATCAATTGAAATGCAAAGGAGAGATGATAGCAGTTAGCAATATTGTTTCTTTACTTAGGCTAGGTCTCTCTTTTCGGACAAACCTGACTGATAGCCACCAAGATAAACTGCCCACACACGCGGTAAATCTGAAAAAAAAAGTGTTACAAACCACGCAAATTGTGCGCTAAGGATCAGGTTTCAGATTTTGTGATGTGCTCAAAGTGATTTTTATGATATTTAGTGATGTACATTTTCGACACCGAATTGATGCCAAAACCATCACAGCTTGTTTTGCTGAAAAAATCCTAGCATTTCAAGCTCGCGATGTGCACTTGTCGGATGTACACCGTGGTTGGTTCGACACCGAGAAATTACGAATTTTCAACGCACCCGTACTACGCAAACGCGCAATGCGTGATGTATTTCTCCGGTCTTGTAGGCGCTAGTGTGCGCGTTGCCTACGGCCTAATAGGCAACGGTGTGCGTTCCGCGCCGACCGCTGATCGGACGGTGTTTGGCGCAATGCGTGAAGTATTCCCGCAGTTTTGTAGGAGCTAATACGCGTATAGCGCCGATCGCACTGTGTTTAGCGCGACTGTTTTCCAACTGAGTTCTTCAACTTGTGACTACTATTAAGTTTTTGCACACTCGTATGAATACTGTAATTTAAAATGCTACAAAATTTACATTAAATATGGAACCGAGTAAAATATTTCACTCGGCCGTAACCATTTTGGAAGAAACGGATGTTCTGAAAATACCCTTTTTTGTTAATCAAATGGGTCATTCTAAAAAGTCAGAAACTAAAAACTACTGAAGAAGCTTATCTTGTATTAGCAATTTTGTGATAGTAGTTTTTTTAAGAAAGGTCCATTTTCTCAGTCAGCTGGGTTCTTACTCTTTAAACATACACTGAAGAAAGTGCATGGCTCACGCATGATAATTCTTGAATTTGTCGTCTAGAGTTTTTTTTTTTATTTTAATTTTTTGCAAAAAAGTAACTTAAATTAAGTAGCATTATTCTTGATTCTGGAAAAAATATTTCTTGGCAACAAATTCAATAACTCTTTTCTTTCAGTGCTGCTCAACAAATTGAACTAAGAAAATATTTTTGAAACATATTTACGAGGTGCGTAACGCCAGTCGTAGCAATGTGCTTTCAGGCTGAGATCCGTGGAGTAACCTTTATGCCTTAGTCTGTCGGCAAGTTGGTGGAAATATTTACTAAGTGACAAAGTTTTTGAGGCAGGCGATTGGGTCAAGTATTCACAGCACTTCAGACTTCCAAGCTTTCCCTTAGCCCGCGTCTCTACTCCATTTTGATTCCTGCATTTATGGGTATTTCTATCATAAAGTAGCTTGAACCTGTAAGCCTGACGAAAAAAGACCCGGGTTATGAAAAACTAAAAAACCATAGTTGATTGAAAACACCGATTGAGTCGAACCTCAATGGGTCAGTTGCGCCGGTCACAGAATCGTGTTTTGATGTTTGAATCTTGTAGATTAGATGAAAATAAAAAGATCCATCCCAATCAGCAACTTACTAAGTTGCATATCAACCGACTTATCGCACTTTGAGAAAGTCGGTATAAGACGTCATCTAAAACGTGTGATTTCCGGCGTTTTAAATATTTTTTTTAGTTTTAGCTTTAAAAATAAAACATAAAGGGAATTTTTGGAACATTAATAAGGGAGGGGACCATTTTAAAGTATTATTGACGGAAGGGCGACCCGAGTTTCAAGATAGCGCTGCAGAATGTAACGAAGAAACACAGTCCCTTGAGGTTAAACTCGAGGAAGTTGTGAAGGCAATCAAGGAATTAAAGAATGTTAAAGCTCCAGGGGCTGGAGATATACCATCACAGTTGATGAAATGCGGAACGGGAAAGTTATTTCAGCTTCTAAGGGACTTGTTTGATCGTTGCATTAAGGGTGAGGAAGTACCGAAGGAGTGGAGAGAATCCTGGATTTCAGCTAAGCACAAAAAAGGAAAGAAGGATGACTGCGAAAACTACAGGGGGCTATCTGTCGTAGGGACAGTTAGTAAAATTTACGGGAAAATTTTAAAAGCTAAAATCGAAGAAGAGTGGGCTCCATATGAAGCAGAGGAGCAAGCAGGATTCAGGGCCGGTAGGTCAACTGTCGACCATTTATTCTGTATCACACAACTGGTTGAGAAAAAAATGGCCGTAGGACAGGAGCTCCATCTAGTTTTCGTTGATCTTCAGAAAGCGTATGATAGCGTTCCACTAGTGAAACTCTGGGAAGCCCTGAAAAAATCGAATTTTAGTGATGGACTTGTGAATGCGATTAAGAAATATTACTGTGGAAGTTTTACTAGAATTAAATGTCAAGGGAGGTTATCTGGTGGTTTTTATGTTTCTAAAAGTTTAAAACAAGGATGTTGTCTGTCACCTACATTATTTAAGATCTTTCTAGAACACGTTTTAAAAGAGTGGAAAAAGAAGTGCTCTGGCATGGGCGTTCCTCTAAATGATACAGACACATTGTATACTCTATGTTTTGCTGATGACCAGGTGGTGATCGCGCAGGATGCGGATGACGCTGAATATATGACTCGGAAATTAGTGCTAGAATATCGAAGGTGGGGCCTAGAGGTCAGTGTCAAAAAAACGGAAAATGACGATTGGAGGGGATCAGCAAGACATAGAGCTGGAAGATGGACAGTGTATTAAAAGCTGCGAGCATTACAAATATTTAGGAGTTCGAGTATCCCAGGATGGAAAGATGGACCAAGCCATAAAAGATCGAAACCTGCAGGGAAGGAAAGCTATTGCTATGTTAAATAAGATTCTTTGGGATCAAAGTATCTCTAAAGAAAAAAAGAGAATGATTTATAACACCATAATCAAAAGCATTCTGACCTACGGCAGTGAAGTGTGGCCCATGAAAGAGCGTACCAAAAAGATCCTTAAGGCAACTGAGATGGATTTCTGGCGAAGATCAGCCGGAATCTCGAGGAGAGATCACGTAAGGAACGAAAGAGTCCGTGAGATCATGAACGCCGAGCAGAACATCGTGCATGAAATTATGACCAAACAGCTTGTCTGGTATGGTCATGTTCAACGAATGGCGGATGATAGGTTGCCTAAGAAGGTGCTAGATTGGGTTCCTCCTGGGAGAAGACGTAGGGGACGCCCAGCAAAATCGTGGATTGGTGGCATTCAAGATGAAATCACAAGATGCCATCTACCAGATGACCTCTGGATCGATAGGCAAGGATGGCGATTAGGTGTCGCAGAGCGCCCGAGCGCGCTGTAAAGCGACTCGAATGTATGTAATAAGGGAGGTACGCATTTTCCAACAATGAGCATCTATGGATTTTTCAAGTTGCGGGTAATCTTATTTGCCATTGCAGACAGTAAACGAATGTGCGAGGGAAGAGTATGTATTAATTGAGTTGATAAATTGTATTTAACGTGGCGTCATTTTAACATTATCTCATGATTATATTATACCCAGCATTTAAGGACGTGTTTGCCCCAGGCCGCCATGTCGAGGTTAAACCAAAAGTGCTCCCAGCCGTCCTTTCCTACCGATTTCTCCTCGCAACCCTTTGGGTGACCGTGCGTGTGGTATCTGCCCATGATTTGACTGGAAGATACTCCATGCACTGAAACGTGAAGGAGAAAGCTTGTTGAGAGTTACAAAATATAAACAGACAACAAGGTAGATTAACACAGGTATGGACAAATTGAACATTTCCCATGAGCCTCAGTACGTGCACATGACCTCGTGACGTAGGTTAAGAGGCCCGTTAGACCGCGCTATTCTCAACTTCATTGAATGTGTTGCTCCATTTAAACATCAAAATACTAGCACGCATTATCAATGGTAGGTAATAAGATCCTCGGGAACAATTAAATTGTACTCTATGCTAAAACCTAATTAACGAATTATTACCGTATTGGAGAAACATAACCAATAAATCACCAACCAATCACATTAATGAAAGCATAAAAATGGCGGTCGTTAAGGGGCCACTAGAGAGCCAATCACAGGCCGGATTTTCAACTTGTCCATACCTGTGTTAATCTACCTTGAACAGACAAGGCAAAATGTCGATTTTGGAGGCACGTCTTGATGCCTGAATAAAGCTGATCATCATGATTAAATATCGTCGCCTCTCTTGAGGCCGAATCTCCGTTTTCACGTGAGGCGTGAAACGCTTGGATATGTATGGACAATAGGGCTCAACTCAGAAAGCTGTTATGCCCTTTACGTTGAAGGAGCGACGGTACTTGACCGTTTACTGGAAAGAAAACTTTATGCCTAGAGAATATGTATAACTTAGGAGGTATTTGTATTAGCTCATGGAAAAATTTGAACAGCATTCAGCCGCCCCCCCCCCCCCCCCCCCCCC